AATGGGTGGCGCAATGCAAAAGGAAGAAAGAATGTAATTGCCCCTGGAGAATACGCGCCACAAATAACAAAGGCAACCTGGACACCTTCACAATTGTGCGTTATCCTGGACCTCATTCTACTTCGTGCGTTGGCAACACCGACACTACCGATCACGTGGCTTTGACTTCAGATTTCATCTCTAAAGATGTGATTGACATTGTTCGCACTGATCCTTCCCTTAAAGTGCACACTATCATTGAGATGCTGAAGGAAAAGTATGGGTATACGGTATCATACCAGAGAACATGGATGGTGAAGCAAAAGGCCATAGCAGAAATATTTGGCGGTTGGGAGAAGTCATATTTTGAATTGCCCTGTTTCATGACAGCGCTCCAACATTCAAATCATGGAACTGTTGTGCAGTGGTACCCACCCCCTAATACTCCCACAGGTTATATGCAGTTTCAAAGAGTTTTTTTGGGCATTCAAGGCATCAATACATGGTTTTAAGCATTGTCGACCCGTACTTACTATTGATGGAACACACTTGTATGGAAAGTACAAGGGTACATTGCTCGTGGCCATGGGTTGTGATGCGAACAACCAAGTATTTCCAGTGGCCTTTGCAGATTTTAAATCTGAGAATGGGGATAGTTGGTCATGGTTTATGGCATGCATTAGGCAGTTTGTCACTAATAGGGAGTTGTGTGTCATTTCTGATAGACATGGAGGTATTGTCAGGGCAATGAATGAGGTGGGCAGTACTTGGGAGGAGCCTTATGCCCATCATAGGCTATGTATCCGCCATCTTGCATCGAATGTGCACACTCATTTCAAAGACATTCATCTTAAAAATCTTTTTGTCTGGACCGCACGGCAACATCAGAAAAAGAAGTTTAATGGTGGGTTCAAGAAGATAGGTGAAATGAGATTGGAGGCACGACAATTTTTGGGAAACATTCCCCTAGAAATGTGGTCACTGCACCACGATGGCGAGTACAGATACGGTACCATCACTTCTAATCTGGCAGAGGTTTTCAATAGCGTGATGAAAAATGCCAGATATTTGCCCATCACCGCTTTGGTCCAGGTTTCCTTTTATCGGGTTAATGCTTATTTTGTTAATAGGCGTGAAACCAGTAAAATTAGGCTGACAGAAGGCCACGAGTACTCCCCACATATCACAGATTTAATTGATAAGAATAAAGAGAAGGCGAGGCATCACACTGTGACTCCATTTGATTTAGGCCGAGGTATACTTCAAGTGGAAACCGGTTGTGGTGGCCGAAAATTGGGGAAGGGTGGGAGAAAACAAACTGTCCATCTACAACGGAAAACTTGCACTTGTAAAAAGATGGAGATATATAAGATTCCATGCTCCCATGTGTTAGCCGTGTGCAGACAACATAGCTTGTCTTATGCTCCATTTGTGGATAAGTTTTTCTCATCTGACCAATACGCCGCCACATATCATAGTCTTCAAACTCATTCCTGATCGTGATTATTGACCTACTTACAATGGACCCGAAATCGTGCACCCATCCATGCTTCGGGCTAAGGGAAGACCAAAGTCAACACGTATTAAAAATGAGATGGATGAAGCTCCCCGAGGAACGGTTAGATGTGGAAAATGTCACCAAACCGGCCATAATAGAGCAACATGTGCGAAGAGAACGTCAAGACACGAGGGGGGTCCGCGGGGTAAGGTTCTATTTAGAGTAATTCACAATTCATGTTTTGGTTGCAAGAAAAAATATTAATTACAAAAATGGATGATTAAAAAAAAGAATTAGTATAATATTGAAAATTAACTAATACTCCCTCCGTCCCAATTTGTAAGATACATTTCGGTTTACGATGTTTGACTGACGATAAAGCAAATTGATCCCTGTCAACACCCAAATTAGTTCTAGAAAATAAAATTTACATATTCAAAAACTACATTAAATCCGCTACAAAACCTGCAAAAAATAATTCAAACTTCATAAACTTTTGATATATAAAATAAAAGTTTAGAAGTGATTTATGTTGACCAAGTGAATAGTAAATGTATCTTACAATTTGGGACTGAGGGAGTACAATTTTGTTTGTTTGTATGCATGGAGGTGACAGCGGATCCTGGGCCGAGTGATCGTTCTGTCCTGACATTGCAGGCCTCGCACAGGAGTGAGGATGTTTGGCTTGGCCTGGATGTTCAGGTGGATAGGTGCCGCGAGCACCTGCGGGGTTTGTCGCATATGCACGTGGACGATAGAGTACTTGCCTATGTTCGTGCTGCGGGTTTTTATGGTCTGCACAGACTAGAGCGCTACTCACTGCTCTACTTGAGCGTTGGAGGCAGGAGACACACTCATTTCACCTCCCTGTTGGTGAGGTGACAGTGACCTTGGGAGATGTTGCTGTACTTACTGGGTTACAGGTTGATGGGAGAGCTGTTATAGGCACTGCTTGTCGACAGTGGGTAGATGAGTGTGAGCGGTTGTTAGGTATCCGCCCCGTTCTTCGGACTGACCTTCAGGGGTCATCTCTGAGGATGCCATGGTTGAGGGAGCACTTCCAGGTGCTTCCTCCGGACGCTGATGAGGTGATGATCCAGCAGCATGCGCGGGCATATATCTTGATGATGACGGGAGCCTCCATTTTCGCTGATAAGAGCGGAAATGAGATTCAGGTGTTGCACTTGCCTATGCTAGAGAGGTTTGATGTAGCAGCACAGTTTAGCTGGGGTAGTGCCACGCTAGCTTATCTCTATAGACAGCTGTGTCGCGGCTGCCATAGAGGGAGCACAGAGCTTGGGGGATTTTTGCTACTCCTCCAGATTTGGTCATGGGAGTATATCCACATTGGGCGTCCCATTGTAGTCGCATATCATGGCATTGATGGACACCCACTACCTGATGAGCCTCCACGTCTTCTAGGACCACATCATGTAAAAATATTAATAATATCCATATTAATGAAACGGTTACATGAATGGTTAGATGGCTATATGCTGATCTATCGCGCATGTCATCCGCTACTGGCCTCGGTGTCTACAGGGATGCATTTGATCGGATGTCTGAGGATCAGGTATGGTGTGGGTAATATAACATTAACTATAATATGTATCGCATAAATACTAAGTTTGTATCTTTATGAAACAGATTACATGGATGCCGTATACAGCCGAAATGTTTGCAGAGTTGCCCCCATTCAGCTGGACGAGAGCATAGTCACATATGGCGAGCACATATGCCATTGATATTTTTGACATTGTTAAGCTTCATTTGCCTAATAGAGTCTTGCGACAGTTTGGGTTTGAGCAGGTCATTCCACAGCCTATCGACACTTATGTAGAGCTTCATAGGCTGGATAGGCGTGGGAAGCATACAGAGGATTGGGCACTGAGACATGTTCGATACGTCACTCTGTGGGACAGGCGAGCTGAGCTAGTTGTGACTGGGACACCGACATTTGTCCCATCTGTTTCAGGAGACTACATGGGATGGTATTACAGCATCACTCGTTTGTTTGTGTCTCCTTCGTTCAGACTCCCTACTCATCATTATCAGTCTAGCTCCTTGCCTTTACATCTTACGGTGAGTATATTACTAATTAGTAAAGTAAGTCATCTTATTTATTTAATACTTGTATGTAGTTCAATGTAATTGTAATTGTGTTTCATATTTCAGACACGAGCTTTGCAGCGCATACATCAACGGGCTACTGCCACAGTGAGTGATACTCATGATGTGGACATGTATGGACAGGCTCTGACAGGCATTGCCTCCTTGTGTTCAAATGTGTTGGGGCGAGTCGACTACGGCCATCTTATACAAATGCCCCCATGGCCCCATCTCAGGAGATGTCATCGACGTCTACTGCAGCAACGGCTTCATCATCGCAGACGCAGCATGAGAGAGTGGTTCTTCAACCACGACAACGGCGTAGGCGTAGACATGAGCAACAACATCTCCATGACCAAGAAGACCACGATGACTATGGGAACTTGTAGTTTGTCTTTTGTATTGCAGTTTTTCTTGTACAGTAGATGTTGTAGGAATAATTTACAACATTTTACGTATTTTCTCTTGTAAACTCTGTTATGTTGTCTTGAAGTGTTCGAGTATGAATATTAGATGATTACTTGTTATGAATATTGGATGATTGTACTGTGTTATAACGGTTATGAATGTAAGGTTTTGTATTTGATTTGTAAAGGGTATTTACAAATTACAAGGTGTTTTTTATGTTGTTGAGAGTAGGTGTTGTGTATGTGATTGTGAAGACGTGTGTTGTATGTTTTATAATGTGTTGTATCTGGCTCGTAACACTTAAACAGGAGAAGAGAGACCTTATTTATAGCAAACAGATAAGTCTGGGTTGAACTGGGGCGAAAAACATGCTGAAATTCTGTTTTCGGAACAACGCACGATCGTGCGTCCAAGGGTACGCACGATCGTGCGTGGCTGGCAGTAGCTGCTGACCTTCGATCATATACAAGGGATAAGTCGTCCAACCGTTGGGCGACTTACCCCTAACCATGGTTAAGCCCAGCAGTAGATCGGTAATAACTTTTTTTCCAGCATTATTTTCGTAATTAATTAATTAATTAACCTTACTTCAAAAAAAAACTCCAACCCTTTTATATAGTTTTATTAAGTGAGGGAAGTGAATCTAAACGCAATGGGGGGAAATATAAATGAATTTAAATGATTTTGACCGGCATCCATTATCTGCTCTGCTCATTTAACAATTGAGAGAATTTTCCAAGCTGCATTCATCATGACGGACATGCAATCAATATTATAATAATATGTCTCATTGAAAAATAGCTAATTAGCATTATTCTGGATCAGCCATCAGTGCTCGAGTTACATTTAAAGAAAGTTGTAGAGTTTTCAGCGCTCATGACGAAAGGAATCACGTGGTTTGAGCTCAACAATTCATCTCTGAATGATGTCGGAGATTGCCCTTTTCACAAAAAGAAGCTCAAGTATTTGTTAATTGTTGTTATAAAATGCAATAAACTAAAATAGGGGCTAATTAACTTATTGCCACTCAAGATCAAATTTATAATAACGTATAATAAGTACATGATCGAAATAAAATATTGGTGTTATGTGGCAACCAACATATTGTTACCCAGTCGCAACGGGCATGACGCATATTGTGCTGTTTGATTATTAGGGTGGCTTAAAGATACTGCATGTAATAATAATGAAGAACACTCATCACGCTATATAAAAAACCCAAAAAGAATCGTATTAAAACAGTTCACCACAAGAAAAGTTATTGGGAGAGAAAATTATACTGGATAGGGAGGCAACATTACTACACTCGGCGCTTCCACTGAAAGAAAAACAAATAAACACAGACCGTGCGATACCAACTAGTGACCCCAGGCGTCTTTAGATTTAGCTTCATTGCCTTCAACAATGCCCAGAGATCTTTAACATTCAATAAGGTGTGTATGGAGATGGCCTCCTGAACCTAGGGACCTTTCTGCATCGCATAAAACCATATAGAATGTGCTAATTTAGGTTATTACTGTTGTAATAAACCACATCTAACTTCTCATTGGACTCATATGTTTTTGGGCACAATGCTGCTTTTTTTAATAGGAGTTGGTAAAAAGTAAAATTAGATTCCTGTTAAAAATCGTCGTGGCCTGAAATTTTTTTAAATACGATGCCAAAAATGTATTTTAGGCCTCATTTGGTGTATCAGCTTTTTTATGGCAGTTTTGAAAAATCTATTAGCATAGGTATGATTTTGTTTGGTTCCCTATGCAACATATTACATATATATCATATACCTTTCAAACTCGTAAAACCAAAATCAGAAAAGTCACAGTAATACCGAACAGTCCCTACTAAAGGAAAGCTAAATAATCGGGCAATGAGCATTTCCTAAAAAACATGTTTTTACATTTTGTAAATATAAAAAAAAGATTATTAGATAAATATACCCCAACTATCATCAAATTCACAAATCTATCTCATACTTTTATTTTTATTAGAAAAAGACTCAAACTTCGACTTTTCTCACAATTACACTTTCAATGGATGAATTAGTAAAACTTAAAAAGAAAATCTTATTAATATATCATATTTTTTCATTTCTTTCTATTTTCAAGTTTACAAACTTCTATTGCTTATATCTTAAGGGTATTGATGAATATGTGTAATTTTGAAAAATCAAATCAAAAAAGGATAATTGTTGAAAACGATGAAGTTTGAGTCTTTTTTTATAAAAGTCAAAGAATAAGATAGATTTGTGAATTTGATGACAGTTTGAGATAAAATAAGCTAATAATCCTTAAAAAATGGTCATGTTAGCATGAATCCACCAACCCCAATTTGAATCATCCTTTCCGATAATTCAATTGCAAATTTTTAATGGCTTTGAGACAATAAAATGACATTTTGAAAGTAATGGGTCTGAATTGCCAGAAAATTATAGATGCGAGTATGTGACTAATACAGCTACGCCCCACAAATCCTACAATAAATGACTTGGGAAACCAAAAACGGTATTTACGCTAGATATCCCCGCTTAGGTCCCACATAATTCAACTTAGACACGTCGTAACCCCTACTGAACCCAACTATTAACAAACCTGACTGATGGATTCATTTAGAGAATTGGTATAAAGACTAATAAGTAGAAAGGAAAAAGCTCACCCATATCCATATGGGGGAAAGAAGTACGGGGCTGGTACGTAAGGTCTCCTGAACCTGTACCCACCCATATACGGATTGAATCGTCTTGCGCGAAATTGTTTCATACCGGGAACATTGGTCCTCTTAGGCATGACCTGCAGATATTAAAGTAGTTCAATACTATTCAGTGTGATGGATAGCAAACAAAAGTATGAAGCGCATTATTGTGTCATTGTATTCCATGGAAAGAGATAATAAAAGGAAAAAACAGATATCGAGCTCATTTGGTAACACTGAAATTTGGCTAAAACTGATGAAATTGTGGCTGAACCGGCTAAATTATGGAAAAGTTATATTTAAATATATTTTATTAATGAAATAAAGAAAATATTATATGAAAAATAGCAAAAATGGTCCTCTATAGTAACTTCAACCAATTCAACCAAAAAAGAAATTTCAACCTTACTTATTTTGATTATTATTACACAATTTAGCGCGACACATCAAAAGTTACATGTTTGGTAAAAACTAAAAAGGTTGGCTGATAAGATTCATAAGCTGAAAAGGGGGTTACCAAATGTGTTCATCATTTTGCCCAATTTCCACAATTTCTCTTTCCCTTTCAAACTCTTAAAGTATGTCTCGATTCATATTGAGGGGGAAAAAGTAAGCAAAGGAGAATAATTTAGAAAATTGCATGGACTGCCGGCTGCTTCATAACATAGAAACACGTGCAAACAGTTTAGTGAGTCATTTTGTTTATTCCATCATATTTCCAACCCAAAAATTGGTGAGTTTTTGGCTCCATTGCAAATGATGGACAAACTCATATAATGATCTTTAATTAATTAATGATATTTATTTTAACCTAATAGATATCCCTCCTTCCCAGCTCAAACTTCTCATTTCCTTTTTTGGGCATCCCTGCCAAAAATTCTCATTTCTGTTTTAAGAAAAAATTAGCATTCTTAAATGATAATTTAATAATCAAATAATAAAAAATAGCAAACCTATAACATCTCAGTTATCATTAATGACCTCATTATATTATATACCCATCAAAACAACTAATCCAATAACCTTTTTTAATTATTTTTAAATAACCATGTCATTTTTCTATGTGAAGCTTTTACTAGGAAGAAGGTAGTACTACAGTTGGGGGAAGTATGGTGGTGATAATTGGAAATGATTATCAGAGGTTATTATCAATAAATTATTATTCCAACTTAAAATTTGAGGGAAAGTTTATTATCTATAAATTATTATTTAAATTTTCTTTGGGAGGATGAGGTCTTCACATCTCTACATCCATTTGATCCAAACCTGGAATGGTGGCATTTTCAGGGAGAGGGGCTTCCTCCCTTCACTCCCCCATTCCCATAATCGATGTGCTTTTTTTTTTTTGGGGGGGGGGGGGGGGCTCACAAATCTTAGATGAAAGAGTCACCTTCAACTGGCGCCCATGCAACTCAGATTCATTCAACTGAAGTGCCTCCTGAACAGCTTCTTGCTCAACAAATTCCACATATGCAAAACCTTTAGGCTGACCAAACTTATCTGTCAGAATAGTGACTCGATTAACTGTACCACAAGCCTGAAAATGTTGCTGAACTTCCTCTGGAGTGCATGCATAGTCAACCTGTTAAACATAAAATTTGGATAAAAAGAGAATAAGACGCACCTCATTGAAAAGAAGTGATTAATTACTTATAGAAGCAGAAATTAACAACTACAGTGATCCAAAATCAGAATCTTTTGAATAACAATTCCCAAAGATAAAACAAAAGAATATTTATACCAGCTACACTGATGGCCATAAAGGAAGAAGACGTTTTTGTTAGGAGAAGAGGTGATTTCTTATGAAATCAGAAATGAACAACTTCAACGAACCAAAATATAATCTTTTGAATAACAATTCCAAGAAGAAAAAATCATATAATCTTTAATCTTGGCTCCAGTAATCGCAATAAGGATTAACATTGCAACAAAGTGAAGCAAAATTTTAAGCTTATAGTACATGGTCTTTTCAGTAACAAATCAACTAATGAAAGAACTCCCACCCCCCGCTTTCTCTCTCAGGGCTTGTTTGGTTTGTAGATTTTGTAGGAAATGTGGTTACCAATTTTAGGGTCACTAAGGTGCTATTCTTTTGGTTCTGAACTTTGTCGGATTGTTAGTCTGGCTTAGTCTAATAAGGTTTTAGTTTTGTGTATTGCAACTTTGTTCTGGTATGTTTAAGTGTGATATAGCTAAACTTGAGGCTTAAAAATATATTACGTATAGGAGAGAAGACCTCATTTATTTCTCTTTTTGTTAGTCTTATATAATATAAAAGTACTACTCAGCAAGTCGGCATTGTTTAGTTAAATCGTGTATTTATATATAAGTTTTGATCTTTAATTTATATCCAACCATCTAAACATAAGAATCATTCATTCATCATTCATCATCATTACCCCAGTGCCGCAAAGGCTACCACCTATGGTGGGGTAAGGGGGGGTCGGATGTACGCAGCCTTACCCTTGTACTAAAGGGGGGAGAGACTTTTCGGATGACCCAAGGCCCTAAGAAACAAGGCCTTAGGTAAACCAATAGTAACAATTAACAAGATAGATTTGCTATGTCACATGTTGCTTCTTACATATCAACTCACCGCCACATTACACCATAGAAAGCAAGGCTCTAAAAACACATCTTGAATAGTTTGATATCAATGCTTTTGGCAAGGGCAGAGCAACAAAGATAACAAAGGCAGAACGGCAAGTAGCGACACCTCACCAGACCATGCTTAAGAGAAAGTCAAACAAATGTCCACCAGCTGCCAGCAGCAATCAGACACAGCAACTAGCATTGCCATTGCAAGGGCTAAGGCTTTTGCAATTTAATGACAATAGTTTGTCTTCTTGCATGATAAGCAGGTGATATCTAAGTCACATACTCTCACCAACACAATATCCATCCGTGCCCCAAAAATATGGTATACTTTTAAGCTCATGTACTTTTTTCATATTTTTTATTCAATTTTTTAGGTCCCCAATCAATATACTCTTTTTTCAATTCTCACCAAATTTGCTTTTACTCTATGGGGACTCCCAATATTTTTTTCATTTTTTTACAGCTTTGTTTTTCCCCCTCAATCAATTTTTCAAATTTGGGGATTACGCTTTTTTTAGGGGCACAAACATCCATATACAAATACTACTACAAATGCAAGCCCATCTTAAACCACAACCACTTCCTTCCACCGTAAAAAGAATAGGAAAAAAGGCCCGTCTCTATTCAGTAATAAGGAAGAACTCCTGCGATCATAACGAAATACGGTTAAGCCATGACTCCAAAAGCAACAGTCAAAAGTCAGACAAAGACTGCACCAAGATGGGGCTTAAGCATTTCTGGAATAAAAAGGACATACATATAACTATAAAAGAAAAGGGGGCAGAGGTAACTACTATGCACACATAGCCGCGACTCTTCAATACACTGTTGAAAAAATGCCATTATAAGAAAAAATCATCACTATTAATATCATTACTACACCCTCAGTCCCTAAATAATCTTTATGCTTTCCTTTTCAGTACAAAATTATCACCCATTTCCAATTAAGAAAAAAATGTGAGGTCCATATTATTCCTCTCTTCACAATAAATCTTAACCACACCATTTTTACTAAATTAAACTTTGTACGTAGTCAAAGTATGACTTCTTTAGGAATGGAGTGGTAGTAATAATTTTAATTCATCGAGATCAGCTTTACTGCTTCACTGTTATGAAAACCAATAATCAAACTATGCTACTAGTTTATTGTAAAAAAACAAAAACAAAAGCATTTCAAACAAAGTACATTTCAGGGAAAAACATAAACACTAATCATGTGGCGAGAAACATAACAATGAAGGGATTGGCATCATATAAGTATCAGTTTGAAGACAAAATCAAGTACCGTAGCTATTGAGAAAAAATCACAAAAATAAGTATCTAAACCGAAGTTTCATGCAATGACTTCATAGACCAGCTGTTTCATATATTTACATAAGGTATTTAAAATAAGTGGAGTTTGGTTCGTACATTGCCAACAAAGATTGATCGTGAATCAAGCTCTTCCTTGTTTGCCTGAGAAGCAGCACTTGCTGGATCTGCAAGAAAAAGTGAATAAGGAGCTCAGATTTATTACAAGAAAAGATTAAAAAAAAAAGTATCCCAAATTACTAGGGTCTACTGGATGAACAGAGAAAATCTCACAAGAAAAATTAGAAAAGCCTCGGGTGCAATTTCAAGGTGAATGATTAGATGTCAGAACGCCCAATATCATGGAGTAGCAGTCGGTCTAGCACATGTTTAGATAAAAGTTCATTCCTAAAATAAAAATAAAACATTAAGTGCCCGTTAGGAAACCCCATTTTCAGCTTCTCAACCATATCACCCATTTTTTTACGAAATACGTAACATTTGATTTGGTGTGTTGAATTGTGTAATAATCAAAATAAGTAGGGTTAGAGTAACTTTTTCTTTCTTTTATTTAAAAAATATTTAAAATATAATTTTTCTAAAACCCAAAAGATTCAACCGCTTCCGCCAGAATTCTAGCAGATTCAACCGATTGCACTGTTACCAAATGGACTCTTAAGAATTTTTTTGATTGGGCTGAAAATTTCTAGTCAAGTTTGGACTGGTCTAGTAGATGTGTGGTCTATATGTATTTTACAACAGTCAAGGTCTGGTCTGCATAAGTCCGGTTTGATTTGTTCTGGTCTGAGACTGAAATCAATCCAAGTAAAAACATTCTAAAACAAAATATTTCCAGTACATTGGTGGAGCAAAAAAACAGTAGTACTCCAGACTATGAATGTTACGTGTTCATGCATGTAATTATGAAATCCCAAGTAGTCCGGACTATAAAGCACGGAAACTCTCGGGAATGAGGATGTTTCCATTGCGGAAACTCTTCGAGAAACTCTCCAAATAGTCATTTTTCTACTAAAAATGATGTTACCCATTTCCCGTTTCCTCTAGATTTTTACATTTCCGTGCAACATAGAGTCCAGTACAAACGGCTAAAACTCGACAGAACACAACCATAGGCAAACTAGACTTGAGCTGATTTGTTCATGTGGTCAATTATGATATATGACATTGTCTTATTCCACAAAACAATTCAACAGCTTTCACTTGAGAAGTCCTAGAGGGGAAAAGCTTCTTTTCTACAGGTGACAGAAATCATTTCAGCTCTAATAGTCACAGAAAGAGAAATTTAGGCATTGGGAATCACTAGCCACATTCATATCTACCCTAAAACAACATCTTTAAAATTTCTTCTGTCAAATTGATAGTTTATTTGGATACCAGATTAGTACAAAAAACATGATTAGATTCCTACAGATTGAGATACGATCTATAATTATTTCATGGATGATAAGACAACCTGCTTCACCTTGAGCAGAACCCATCTCCTTCTCAACTTTGGCTTGCATCTCCCGAAGAGCTGCTGCTTCTTCCTCCATCTCCTTCAGTCTTTTCTTCATCTCATCCAATTCCTGTAGTTCTCCGAATCCTCAGGTCATATTAGACACAAAGAGTGGAAAGATCAACGTAAATAGAACTTGACAGAGTTGTAGTGGGTTTTGCATACGCCTACAATCATAGCAATCATATACAAGGACAGAAAAGGAATACCTTGACGGCGTCTTCGTCGGCGGCGGACATGTCTACGTCGGCGCCGTGATGTTCTACCTCTTCTCCTTCAACCGGTATTTCTCCTCCGTAAACCTCATGCTCCTCTTCATCCATGCCGATCTCTCAACAGTCAACACCCAATCAGATCTGGTTTGAAGGCCCTCGAATTATCTGTATCTGTAATGTAAAACTGGCGCTTTTAAGTTTTAATAACTAGACTGCAGGGCTGAACGGCAAAACGATATCCTTTGGACTAGGGTTTAATGGATGATTAGATGGAAAACTATCCTTTTTTTAGATCTCGTAGGCAAATCATTCGGTGGGTAAATGTTGGAAAACATTTAAGAGTTTTATTAAAACAAGACTAAAGGGTTAAATAGGCTTTTGAATTGACTTAAAGTATTTCAATTAGTCATAGGAGGTTCTGTCCGGCCATCGCCAATTGAGGTGGTTCCCGGTGGAATTTTTTGAAGATAACTGCGAAGTTAATCAACACAGTACATTTCGGAAAATCATTTGACTGTCTTTCCGGTTGAATTTTTAGCTGAAATTTGGTATGGGTAAACTAGACTTAATGAAGAAGATGCTCAAAAAATTTCATCAAAAATTTCTACCGGGAACCGCCCCAATTAGCGACGGCCGGGCAGAACCTTCTATATAAGGGGTTAATTGAACACTTTAAGTCAGTTCAAGGGCCTATTTGATCCTTTAGCCTTAAAATAAAGGAGAACTAGCTAATAAGAAAGATAGAGAATTATTTGGTGGTTTTTCATGGCTTATTTTGTTTAGAGATCGGAATATGTTTTTTCCGGACCAGTTAACTTGCAAAAATCATTTGACGACCTTCCCGATTGAATTTTTTGCTGAAATTTGGTATGGATGAACTAGACTTGATGAGGAACATACACAAAAAATTTGAGCAAAAAATACCACCGGGAAGGCCCCCAAAAGGAGGAGGCCGGACGGCGCTCCGGTCAGGAAATTCCTGACCGGAAGATTACTCTCTCTCTCTCTCTCTCTCTCTCTATATATATATATATATATATATATATATATATATTATGAATGTATCCTCGTACGCAATAAACAATTAATTAACTAAAAAGTGTTTGCAAGAGCTTGAAAAAAGTGTTTTACCGTATGTTTTGAAACATATACACTATAGAGTTAAAACTTATAAGCTTAACTTTAACTTCTCCAAATAACATAATTATAGTATCATGTTTTGAAACATTAGCCTAATGGAAGAAATAAGTTTTACTCAAACAGAAAAAAATTCACTTAAATTTACTTACCATAACAATGTATTAAATCTAGTCCAAAAATAGAACTAAAAGGAAATAAGTTGCTTACACTGAATCATAATAATGTTCTAAGACTGCAAGGCAAGAAAATATGAAAAAATAATTCCACAATAATTCCAAATAATTATTACGGGTACTTTTCTTCTTACAATTCTCTATGTTCAAACTTCTATTCCAAGTAGTTAACAAAAGAATTGAACAAAAAATGCATTTGTTCTCTTCTTGCTATCGGTGTGCCAAAAAGTCTAGTCATTCGATACTTAATACTATCTTGGACAAAAGTAAGATGATATTACAGGCAAAAAGTTTACATTCTTAGAGCATCTTTAATGTCTAGTCTAAAAAAACTATGTCAAATGTCAAATTATTACAGGGCTTTCTCTCCATTTCTAAACTAAAAATGATCTTCAAATAATCTTCAAACCAATAAATTTTTCCTCATTCATGATCTTAATTTATCTTGGATGGGAGCATGAGCTTGCACGAACTACAGAGATAGTTATCACCATAATTATTAGTATATGCCTAGAAGTTGGAAATAATCTCAAAATAATCTCAAAATAATCCAGCTTTAGAATTTGATACAGATTATTTTATCAAATAATCTCATAAAATAATCTCAACTCATCATCCATGATTTAAAAAAAAAATCCTCCACATCATCAAAATGATCTCAAAAATAATCTATGGATGTGGATGCCCTTAGGGTGTACATTACTTATTGTGTTTCAAAGAAAAAATAATTTCAAATATATGATCAAAGTAAAAGTAGTGGATAAAAGTAGTGACTTTTTATTGGATGAAATGTAAATATGTATAGAATCATCCGAGAGTGTTCTGTACGACTTATAGACAAAAATAAAAACTATATGTTATCCCAAGTAAGGATGCCTTATCTCCTCAAAAATCATCTAGCTAATCTTCTGTCCTTGTAATTAGTTACTATAGTTGTATTCAAATGTTACTCGTACATGATAGTGATTATAAAACTTACATATAGTAAATTATGGTACATTTTTGTTCGTAGACTTTGTATTAGTAGTATTTTGGAAAAACTTCTTGAAAAATCATAATTCTCGTAATAGAATGAGATAGCATGTCTGAGAGAATGATTCAGTGTGTAAATCTTTGCCAAATCTAAGTATACACCTTTGGCAGTAGCTTGCATTATTTAACATTAACCAAAACAAATAATTTATAATTAAAAAACCAATAATCGATTTTGTTTAGAAATGCAAATATATATATATATACTCCCTCCGTTCCTAAAAATTCTTCCCGGTTTGAATTGGCACGCCTATTAAGAAAGTGGAATAAAGTGGAAATGTGTGGTTGTAGTTGTGTGAGAAAAAGGTAAAATGAATGTGAGCCACACAAATTGTCCAAAAAGGGAAAGTGAGAAGAATTTTTGGGAACGACCCAAAAAGGAAAGTGGGAAGTATTTTTGGGAACGGAGGGAGTATATATATATATATTATGAATGTATCCTCATACGCAATAAACAATTAATTTACTACAAAAGTGTTTGCAAGAGTTTGAAAAAAGTGTTTTACCGTATGTTTTGAAACATGTACACTATAAAGTTAAAACTTATAAGCTTAACTTTAACTTCTCCAAAATAACATAATTATAGTATCATGTTTTGAAACATTAGCCTAATGGAAGAAATAAGTTTTATTCAAACAGAAAAAATTTCACTTAAATTTACTTACCATAACAATGTATTAAATCTAGTCCAAAAATAGAACTAAAAGGAAATAAGTTGCTTACACTGAATCATAATAATGTTCTAAGACTGCAAGGCAAGAAAATATGAAAAAATAATTCCACAATAATTCCAAATAATTATTACGGGTACTTTTCTTCTTACAATTCTCTATGTTCAAACTTCTATTCCAAGTAGTTAACAAAAGAATTGAACAAAAAATGCATTTGTTCTCTTCTTGCTATCGGTGTGCCAAAAAGTCTAGTCATTCGATACTTAATACTATCTTGGACAAAAGTAAGATGATATTACAGGCAAAAAGTTTACATTCTTAGAGCATCTTTAATGTCTAGTCTAAAAAAAACTATGTCAAATGTCAAATTATTACAGGGCTTTCTATCCACATGTTATATAGTGAAGTCTCCAATGCAAAAAGTTCCCAGACCGAAGTTCGGTATCCATGCGAAATAAATTTAGCAAATTTAATAAATTTAATAAAAGATTTTTAACCATTGTTCTTTAAAAGTTACGGAGTATGTTTTAACGTAATAGATGGATGTGAAGGTTTTTTTAACAATGATGTTGATACCAACTATTATACCCACGTTTTTTAACACATTTTTCTCGAGGTTTGAAATATCGAGAAACAAATCCTCGAATTCAAATATCGACAAAAATGTATTCTCGAGTTCGCACTGAGAGATATGTCGAGAAACCACCTGCAATAACACATTCATAATGATAATCAAATTAAAATTTTCGATGTCGAGATCCTGGTTTCGAGAAAATTAGTTCTCGATATACAACAGCGAGAAATTTCTTTCAAGTTTGATTTCGAGAACTGTTGTACTTCATTCGAGAACCAGTTCATTTCTTATTGTTGATGATTGAAGATTTTGTTCGCTACCTTCAGAAAATTTTGGGGGAAATTTGAGAAAGCAAGAGTTCGAGAGTTGGTATGCGAGAAAACTTGAGAGCTTCGAGAACCTGAATGCGAGAAATTGAATTATGCGAGGACAGGTTCTCGAAATCCCCTTTTTATGCGAGAAGTTTATGGGCCTTGCGAGAAAGAGTTTGGGCCCAGTTTTTGAGTTGGGCCCATTATCATTTTAAAATTATTTTGGGCCCCAAAGATTTATTTATGTATAGAAAAAAAAACTCCCCCTCAAATTGTACATGAGAAAAAAAAAAATGTACACACACACTCACTCTTTTTCTTTCTTTTCTGATTTTCTCACACACTCACACTCTTTTTCTTTCTTTTCTGGTTTTCTACACACACACACTCTTTTTCTTTCTTTTCTCCGCCTCAAAGTATTCCTCTCTCTTTTATTTTCTCCCTTTTCTCCCCCTCAACACATGCAACGCACACCACACACGCACACATTTTATTCAGACCATGGAGATAACACAATTACAGAGGATCGAGATTCAACATGCCTAACTTAGATACTAGGAACTGGAATCTCTTCTCATCCAGTGCCTTAGTAAATATATCAGCCAGTTGAAACTCAGTGCTAACAAAGTACTCTGGGAGTCACTGTAGATCGGGATGTGATTGAACGGGGTTGCTGGTTATGACGATTGCACTCTGGGAGTCACTGTAGATCGGGATGTGATTGAACAAGAAGCCATAGTCTCTGAGCTGGGTCCTCATCCATAGGATTTGTGAACAACAACTAGCAGCCGCAACGTATTCTGCTTCGGCTGTAGAAGTTGACACACAGTTCTGCTTCTTGGAGGACCAACAGACTAGCTTCTCTCCCAGAAATTGAGCACCACCGGATGTACTTTTCCTGTCTAACTTGCAACCTGCAAAATCAGCATCTAAGTAACCAATGAGGTCAAAACCCGTGTCCTTGGGATACCAAAGTCCTAAGTTGACTGTTCCTTTCAAGTATCTCAGGATTCTCTTGACTGCATTCAGATGTGATTCCTTTGGATTCGCTTGAAAGCGTGCGCACATGCAAGTTGCAAAGACAATATCCGGTCTACTAGATGTTAGGTACAGCAAGGAACCAATGATTGCCCGATAGTTGGTAGCATCGACTGATATCCCAGAAGGGTCAGAGTCGAGCTTTTGTGAGGGAGACATGGGGGTTTTCATGGTTGACTTGCTGTCCATCTTGAATCTTTTGAGCATTTCATGGATGTACTTCGACTGGCTGATGAATATTCCGTCTGGCAATTGCTTGATCTGTAGCCCTAGAAAGAAGTTCAACTCTCCCATCATACTCATTTCAAACTTAGTGCGCATCAAGTTGCTGAATTCTTTGCAGACGTTCGGATTGGACGAGGCGAATATGATG